GCCTACAAAGTCTGAAACCTTCAGAACAAAGTTGCTACACAAACACTGGTGTATTTCCAATATCTGCAAGTCAACCAGCTTCAATACGAGTTGAGTAAACAGCTTTCAAGGCATCATTCTGTAAATCCTATATCTCATTCACCAAGCATGTTGAAGTTTTGTGATACCATTAAATAAATATTAAACTTGTATACTTTTCATACCTTGAGAAAAGTTCTCCCACTTGCAAGCATTCTGTAACTTTATCAAATGCATGAAAGCCTCCTTTGGGTTGTATCTTTTCCTAGCCTCCAGCCAAGATACATGACTGCAATCTTTCTACATTCTGTAAATGTAGCTTCTTCTTACATTCTAAAGAACTAAAATTAACTTCTACAATATCAATGGCATGGCATTTGAGATGCCTGGGAAAATCGGTACCCACTTGCCTTTCTCCCTTGTGAGTTGTGACCTGCAGCATATTGATTCAGTTATGATTCCCTCATCTCCAAATTTCACTAGTATTCAGTGTATTATCTGGACCGGGTCATTCTAATATGATGACATGGTACTAAAGAAACATTTATGATGAAAACTGTTGTGCTGCTTAATATTTTTGTGGAAACCAAGATACATATTTTTTAGGTTTGTTTGACAAGTAGAAAGTAGGGCTGCACGATAAATCGCATGCGATATTTAACGTGCATCTAGTCAGTAAAGCCGGTTCTGTAATCAGCAGTAAATCTGATTAGCAGCCCTAGTAGAAAGTTCCAAAGAACAGCATTTATTTGAAGTATATTTTGGTTGCAAAAGTCTTTACTGTTTCTTTTGATAAATTTATTGCATCCTTATTAATTTCTAAAGAAAAAAAATCTTATTGACCAAAACTTGAAGCAGTAGTGTGTATATAGGTCAGGATTTCAAAACAGGTCCCCTTGCATGCTAAAAGAAAATTAGGTAACACTTTAGTTTAGGGACCAACTAGTTGCTTATTAGTAGGGATGCACCGATACCACTTTTTCCAGTACTCGCCCGATACCGATACTTTTATTTTTGGTACTTGCCGATACCGAGTACCGATACCAATATTTTTATTGCATTTGTAAATTTTTTAAATATTGGGTACAGACAACCAAAAGAGTATGTATAATGTTAGTTGGTTAACTTCATTTATCAAATAGATACAGTCAAACCAAAATATATTCAGACACCTTCAACATTTCTCACATTATCACAGTTTACTCGCTATAGTTTAGAAAATGGTAATAAAATATATTAAGTACTTATAAAGCACATATTAATGCCTTATTCTGCATGACCATATTTTAGAACCTTTAATCTTACCCTATCTCTAAACTTAACTAGCCTACCTCACTAACTATTAATAAACAGCAAATTAGATTTTTTTTGAGGCAAAATTCTCGTAGTTAAGTGTTAGTTAATAGTGAGAATTGGACCTTAAAATAGAGTGTGACCGAAAACTCAATGTACCATTAGACTAAATTGTCTTAAAGTGCCCCTATTATGCCTTTTCGAATATTACCTTTCATGCAGTGTGTCATGTAGCGGTATGTGAACATAAACTATCTGCAAAGTTGTGAAGCCGACAGTGCACGATAAATAAAGTTATTGTCTATCAAAAAAAAGAGTTGGCTCGCAATCGCCTAAACGAGTCGTCAGGAATTCGAATCTTATTCTGTTACGGCTCTACATCATGAAGTAACACATTTGCGTAATGTCCGGGTGGGCCAACTTGCCCGCCCAGGCGCCCACAAGCAGTAAAATTTCTGTGTGGTTAGCATCATGTCGAGAAGACACTCACACGCAAGTAAAATGTATCCTACGCTGTGAGAGTAAATTTGTTTTATTATCACATCTTATAATTACCACAAACTTGTTAACACTTGACACTTACCACTGAGAAACGTCCTGCTCCAGTCGTGCATGCGAATCAGTCTCTTGTCGATCAGCCAGTTCAACCGTTTCATCATCAGACTCCAGCTCGAATTGGTAAGGTACAATCGATACCATCTTTTCTATGTACTGACAAGTCTCCAGGGTTGTCATTCCGTCATGGCAAAGGGCGTTTCGTTTCTGACACGCGCTGTACGCGTTGAACCAATCCAGAGCCAATCTCCCTACGGCTCTGGACCGATCACAAAGGACTGCGCCATCTGACCAATCACAGCAGTGAGGGCTCACGGAAAGGAGGGGTTTAGAGAGACTGATTCTTTGAACTGCTTCGCACGAGTCGTTTACGAATCATTTAGAAATGAGGTAAAATTAAATATTTTTTTAGAAAACTAATGTGTTTTTTGACCTTGCATGCATGTAAACCTGTTTTAGGAGACTCATAAAACAATATTAGCAACCTTAAAAATGGCATAATAGGGGCACTTTAAATAAGAAATAACACTGCTGAAGGACTGCCAAAAGCACCCAAAAACCAAAACTGTGATCTGAGCAACCGTAAATGTAACAAAGAATATTTTTAATCTAAAAGAATCATTGCCAACTCAACTGCCCTATATAGCAGAAACCAGTTCTTGTAACACCTTGTCAATTCTTTTGATCAAAGGCGAGAGCTTGCTCTCTTCAGAAGCTGTGTTCTGGAACGTACTATCTTTCGACAGTTTCTTCAGCGTTGCATACATATTAGCAATGTGTTGCACCACATTACTCTCTGAGTCTGCCTGGAGTGGGTGGGAGTCTCTCGCCTTTTTGATCTCGAGTCAGTTCAGGGGCTTGAGAATGCAAATGTCTTTGAATGTCTCCTGTGACTATGAAAGCACTCTGTCACCAGGCCATTCCAACATATATTTCTGAACTCAATTTCACACACAGGAAGCATACCTGCATTCCTCATTTTATACATGCCAAACATTTCAACATAACATACATATTTCTGCCGCTTAATGTTAGTGCCATGCATTTCTCACATGCAGAAATCTAGTGTTCTGCTGTTTTATAATGTCTGAACATCACTCTAAAAGCAGAAAAGTATCCATTAAGGATGAAACATTCAGCAGAGCATGAACTAAGCAGCCCTCCAGCTGAGTAATAATGCTGTGTTTTGTTCATTCAGGCTTGGTTTCAGCTTATATGTTACAACTAGGGCTGCACGATAAATCGCATGCGATATTTAACGCGCATCTTTTCAGTAAAGCCGGTTCTTTAATCAGCTGTAAATCTCCATCACGTGCGGGCTTTCACATGGAGCAGCATTAACTACACAGAGCTGTTGTTCACCGACAAGCTGCGCAAAACATGCGCAAAATGATCGTGATTTTGCGCAGCTTGTCAGTGAACAACGGCTCTGTGTAGTTAATGCTGCTCCATGTGAAAGCCCGCAGGTGATGGAGATTTACCGCTGATTACAGAATGGCTTTACGGACCAGATGCGCGTTAAATATCACATGCGATTTATCGTGCAGCCCTATTCACAACCCTGATGACCAATCATGAAGCAGAATAAAAAGAGATGTTTTTAAGAGCCAAAGCATTTATATAAAAACACCCAGAGCAAGATAAGGTATGAGATCCCTTGAGATGATACGGCAAGACTCTTTGAACAACCACACTACAGTACAAAGTGTTTAAAATATATAATCACTCAAGAGTTTTGCAACAGATCTGTAGGGAGTGCCCATTTTTCAGTGGAATAAAACAGCAGGTCAGCAGTACAAGCAATGAGTTACACTGAACAATGTACACTCCCTAAAGATCTATTATCTCTAAAGATGTGTAAATTTTTTGTGCACACGTCTTTAATGTAAAAGGTATATTCTCAGTTACTTTATTCTCTTGACTGCATGCTGAGACTAGACATCTTCAAAATGCTGACTACAAAAGGTTTGGATATGTAATTCTAGCTTTTGGCCCTATCCAGGATGAAAATTACAGTATTGGGTACAGTATGACCCGCCAATTAAGGACGGAGCCACCAAAAGGAAGTCAAAAAAGCTTGTTAATATGTATTTCTTTTACCGTGTCTTCATTAAACATACAAATGTACAACATAAAACTTCAAACAAACTCTATAATGGTTTGCCCGAAGAAAGTCAAGCGAATACTTAAAAAAACACTACTTTTTTCATATTGTTTTACAGAAAACGTAAACAATGAAACTCTAACAACTAAACATTTTTTTAAACTGCATGTCATTATTTAAAACTAATTGGAGGCCATCCATCACCTGCACAGATAGTTATTTATTATAGGTAAAATGTTATTTATAAAAGCATAGGCATTTAAAGAATTTAAGGAATGTTAATGGAATTGATATCATATTTGAAACCAGACCAAACAAAAATCTAAGAAACAATAAACTGAAATTTTTTCAAAGATTCAGGATTATTATATAATTATAGGTGGGTTATTGTTTGATCCTATTAAGATTTCCAAACCCCCATTTGTTTTCCAAATTAAAATATTATCATATTTCTATAAATGTGCAAGTAAACTTTTTGTTTCATAATTGTTTTTCTCTTTACAAGTTGCTATGATTGCCATAATAGGCTGTGTAGCGAAAGGTTCCATTGGGACAACTGTACATACAGCATACTGTACATGCAGGGCTATTGGGGCATGTTGTCACAAAGGTAAACGTGTAGTGTATATCAGTACTGTACAAAGAACTGCATATGTTTCCTATGCAAGAACGAAAATGTCAAATAGGTTTTTGTTGTGAGGACTTTAAATCACTTTAAAAAAGAATTCGACCCTTAGAAATATATACCGACGTTAAACGAGTGACAGCTAGTCCCAGTTTCCCCAACAAAACCCATCATTCCACAAATCAACTTTAATAAGCATTCAATGGCAGAAAAAGCACTAGATTTTAGCCTACATGTGACTGAAGTGAAGTGATGCTAATTCTTTACATTATTCATGACCTTACAAAACTGGTTTGCTTGATCTGCCAATGCGATACAGTTACAATCGATAAATCGTCATTCAACGCAAGTTTCGAGAAATGACAGATCATTAAAGCGACACAGATGTCCTCACAGATAACCTACCTCGCATTGGGTTTTGAATCCAGAGGATTCCCCCGATAAGGTGAGGAGACTGCCCTAACATCATGTTACCAGAGCAGGTGGTCGAAACACAAACGAAACACCTGTCTGACAGAAGTGTCCAGCTCGCGCGCCTTATGAAAGCTGATTAATAATAACGCGCTCGCGCCAGTCCGCTGCTCCTCAATGAAGAGCGCATTCGCATCTCAATGACCTACGTGAAATAGTCGCACAAAATACGGTTTCTAAACATTAAAATTGTTCATTCGGAGTAGGAACATGCTGTATTGTGTTCTGTTCCTCTCAATGGTGTTCCGCGGCGAGATGTGAATCAGTGGGTGTACGTGCAGATGCTGAATGATGCAGATCGTGAATCTTTACAGTATATGCATAGACTGATTTCAAGCCCACGGGCCCCGCGAGCCCATCTCCATGCCTTAGGTTTCCAGTGCAGGAGCAGGACAAAGATCTGCGGCTGATCGGCAGCCAATCATAATCCCAATCCGGCTGAGGGGTAGCTTCGTTTGTTTTTGTTTGTTTGTTTGTTTGCTGTTGAAGCGTTCTTTTCCATAAAAAAACGTTTCCGCAGAAATACATCTCGAGACGTTTGTTAAAGTCTTACCTTGAACAGCCATGTTGCTACTCCATAAGTTCGCGCATTATGGGAAGGAAGGTAAAGCTGTAGGTTGTCAGAGTAGCCTGCCCCACTCTACCAAAGCGTCTTGCTTATTAACACTTGCAAGCAACCTCTGTTAAAACCCAGTGTGCTGAAAAATCATGAAATGTGTACTCAAAGAACCATGGGTATTGTAGTTCCACCTTTAAGTTACTGGATCTGTAACCACGTTGTTAAACCGGTTTCAACTAATTATATTAGTCAGCATAGACGTGTTTGTTTGTTTGTTAGTTAGCTTGTTTAAATATTAAATAGGCCTATATGTATTTATTTATTTCAAATATGAATAAACATTTAGGCTAACATTCATCCAACATTCAATATAGGCTATAGGCTACACGCCGTATGCATTTTAAATTTTATTTTATCTTTCTACGGTTTTGAATTGATTTTTTTTATTATTATTTTGTTTATTTGATTGATTGATTGATTGATTGATTGATTACATTTATCCAAAGCAACTTACATGCATGGGAGAATATTAGGCTGCGAGAAATGTGGGTGTTACACATTTGAAAGTAAACTGTTTGTCAACTCTGACAGAAAAAAAAACTCATCTTATTTTATTGAAATATTTGATGATTATGTTTTAAGAAATGTCTATATATAGCATTTTTTTAAAATTTTTTTATTTAGGTTACAAACACATTCTAAGCTGCAAGAAATTTGGGTTGTTGCTCACAAATATGGCTCATTTTTGTGGAATTTGTACTTGTGAAACTGTGAACCTGTTGCATACCTCTAACTCACTGGATATTATTTTTGAAAAGTTCTGACTATTGTGACCAAGGTTTCTTCATTGTTATCATTTCTAACATTTTTGAAAGACAGCCATATAAATCTTAACCTACAAACTTCCAAACTGTAAGTCAAAGGCCCCTTCAAAACATGTTATTGTTCAAAGTTGGTGTGCTTTTTTCTCATATGGTAGCTAGCGCAAATGTTTCCTTTTACTTTTTCAGCTCTAGCTGTCCAAAAAGTACAACACTGAGTCAGAACAACCGGAGAAAGTGAAGAATGCAGAGACTGAAGAGGCATCATTATAGATACAGATCACTGTCTGCAGAACTCAGGCTTTCTCCATTTCTTTTGCATGAGTGAATACAATAATGATAAGCATGAAGCCTTTAGAAAACTATTATCAAGTAAACCTACATCCCTATTACTGTGAACTGATCACATCACAACCTAATTCAGGTTATGAGAAATGTGTTAGAATATATGTCATCTATAATTACACATGGTTCACTTTGGGTCTTCTGTGTGGCAGTATTTTGAACAGGTTTAGTTGAGCAAAAAGAAGAAAAAAAACTGCACATTATTGCTTCAATCTTGTTGAACCTACTCTAATGAAATGCCTGTCTTGGGGGTACTTTTGTGGCAGGGAGATGGAGAACAATATCTGTACACAAATATAGTGGAGGCATCCTACATTAAGAACAAGGTCATTATCCAAGTCTCAGGAAAGTAAAACACCAGTAATTTCATCTTCCAGCTGTAATTTGTGACAATTAGAGGTAGCCTTTTGGCAGCTCAACGACCCTCAAGGCTCTTGTTCAACCAACTACCACAGACAGCCAGTGAATGGAGAGTGTGCTTCCAGATCAATGTCATTACAGTTGGAGCCCCTTGGTAGACATCATGGATCCTGGAACAAATAATGACCATTTTGGGTCTGACCAAGTGGCTTTTCCTGAAATTATACTTTTTATTTTAATTTAATTTTGTTTTCATCAGTGGGCACCTAACTTTGCAAATAATTAGCAAATATGGAGCACACTGTATATCAAGTGTAAACTACTATTATGTAATTGACCTAAATTGAAACCTTCAGGTTGAGCTACAGAGCTTGCCTGTTCATCAGGTCCAAGTATAAGATTTTGTTCCACATTTTTATGTCATGATACAGCACTTCCTGTTAATGTTTTTTTATTCCGCATTCCTGATGATTACAGTCAGCTCTAGTTTTTCTGGTTTCCAGACAAATGACAATCAAAGAATGTTTAATTGAAAGAGAACAACTGCACACTCATTTAAGCAGAGGCTATTTATTATCCAACGTTTCGGCTAGTAGCCTTTGTCAAAGTATAGTTTCACAAAATGGAGAGTAGTATAAGTAAAGGAGATAATTGTACACAGCTGAGAGTGGTGAGATTTTGTTGGATTGTAATTTGCATTTATTCTGTTTGTATAGATCAATTTGTTGATGTAACTAATTTCCATGTTAGAGTCTAATTGTCAATTGGTTAATTATTGGATGATTTGGATCTCACCACTCTCAGCTGTGTACAATTATCTCCTTTACTTATACTACTCTCCATTTTGTGAAACTATAACTTGACAAAGGCTACTAGCCGAAATGTTGGATAATAAATAGCCTCTGCTTAAGTGAGTGTGTAGTTGTTCTTTCAAATAGGTTTTTCTACAGGTGTGTGCGCGCACTTTGCTTCACTTGCTCAATCAAAGAATGTTTGGCATTGCTTATCAGTTTGCTCTGTGACTAAACGTGTTGTTCTGCTACATGACTGTCTTCATGCACTTACTGTACTGTAGGTTGACAATTCCCATAAGCTTCCAATAAACATGCGGTCATTTGTTGCTGTAATGTGACATATTTTGAAAGAGACAGCCACTGCTTATTTATTTTCATTTTAAATCACCCTGAAAGAAAAATAAAAATAAAAATCATGTGCTTCTTGCAAAGTAGCATACTTAATCAAAGACAGCATCTGTGAATGAATATGTAAAGGACAGATTTTATTGTCAGTTCTATACTAATTGAAACAAAGACCCATCTTGTTATACTCAAATACTTGTATTTTATGAAAAGTACATCATGTACTAAATGCAGAGATAATTTCCAGTTTCATAATGACTGCAAATGCATGGCAAGGAGGAAATTGTAGCGTTAGTGCACTGCTCCCTCTTCTGGATGATTTACAGTATGACAAATAATATACTAACAGCAGCCCTTTTTATCTCTACTGTTTAGCCTTAATGCAAAAAATCCAATTCGTTTTAGTAGTTTCCTATTTACAAAGCATGATTCAATGAAACAAATCTTTGTACATGCATACACATAAATAAGCAAACACGGCAAGAGCTGAGACAGCTCAGAAAACGCAGTCTGCAATCTTACAAACTGTAATACATGTAAACAGTTAGAACCATAATAATTTAATAATATAATTTAACAATATACCTTTCTATATTTTATCAATAGCAGCAAAATCTTTCACATTCAGTTCAGAGTCCCCACACTGTGTCATATTAACAGAGTAATAATGACACCATCATCCCGGCCCTGCCACAGCATCTCCCCCTCAAAAGCCACCTTTCCATGCTTCCTGGCCCTCATTAGTATCCCCACGACTTTATCAGAGATCCGCACATATCTGTCAAACAGATCGCCAAAAGTCACTCTAGTGTAACCGTCTGGATCCGGGTCCACCATGGTCCTTATGATGAAGCACATGTCATCAATCTCCCGGTGGATGTGTGCCTCTGCGCGTTTGGCCCTCTCTGCTGTCTTACTGCCCTCTTTGGGCCTCCCATAGCCCTCCTCCCCCCGCCGCAGCCGTGTTGACATGGAGTACTCACAATCAAAGTCCTCGCTGAAGGGGTTGAGCTTCTGATTGACGGTATGCTCCGATGCCCAGTTTTGCCAGCGGCTTTTTAAGTTGCCCACAGCGTTGTATTTTTTGGACAGGGTATTTATTTTGTTGGCATCTTCAACATCCTTCTTGCCCCTAAAAAGATAGCATATTATTTAGAATAATGCATATTATTTATAAAACAATGTTTGTTTTATAACTTGTAATGCTAGTAGGCTACTTAAGTGCAACAAAATGTGCTATACTATAGCCATTTGATCATATTTGTTTATAGCAATTGTATGTATAGGAGTGGGCGATATATACCATAGACACAATTAACTGGTAGAAATGTTTCAGCTGGTAGAGATTTTGGACTGTTGTCTCCTTCATGGTTACACGTTCACGTGACGTTGATGTGCTACATGGTCATGAAAATGAATCATTTTCATGCATTTTAAAGCATTGCAGTTTAAAAACAAGTGATTTTAAACCATTGAAACGCAATCAGCAGTGAAAGAGAACTCATTTTGCTATATGCACGCTTTAGTTCGCTATATTTCGCTATAGTTATTTTTGACACTTTATAGGCCTTGAATGGTTAAATACACACACTTGTATGTGTCAAAATGCCTGTCTTTGCAAGTATCCTCGTAAACACAGTAGGTCTTAGTGAAAGCAAACAGCTGAGAAAGAAAACACTATAACAATAAGTTGGATCCAGGCAGACGTTGATGTGCTACATGGTCATCAAAATGAATCATTTTCATGCATTTTAAAGCATTGCAGTTTAAAAACAAGTGATTTTAAACCGTTGAAACGCAATCAGCAGTGAAAGAGAACTCATTTTGCTATATGCACGCTTTAGTTCGCTATATTTCGCTATAGTTATTTTTGACACTTTATAGGCCTTGAATGGTTAAATACACACACTTGTATGTGTCAAAATGCCTGTCTTTGCAAGTATCCTCGTAAACACAGTAGGTCTTAGTGAAAGCAAACAGCTGAGAAAGAAAACACTATAACAATAAGTTGGATCCAGGCTGCTCTTAAAGTGACAGCAGTCTAATCTTCCTGCTGTCTATCATTCATGTTAATCAAACAACAAAAGAGAAAATCTTTCACTGCTCTTTACTAAATCACTTTTGTAATTTAATATTAAGAAATATATATTTAATTTACACAGTGAAGAATATGCCGTTTTTATACATTTGATTACTTCATATAATGCATGTAGCATTACTTATTTATTTGTTCTACTGTAGTTATTTTGTCCTGTTGCTTGTAGTTAGTTTCTTATTCTTATTTAATTGCTGACTGTTTACTTGCCTTCAGTGAGCTTGAGTTTTTTTAAGTTTTTTTTTAGGCTATTTGTAGTTTTTTTGTGATATTGACACTGGTGACAAATTATAAAATTTCTATGTTATCAAACATTTTGATACCATAAAGACCATATGTAAAGCAAAAATAACTATATTGTGATATATTGTTACTGTGAAATAAAATTACTCATATCGTGATATAATATTTTGGTCATATTGCCCACCCCTAGTATGTAGCTTTGTGTATTTTGTGACTTTGTAGCCCCTTAACAGTTAAGTGAGTGGAATTCACTGTCGTAAAAATATCACTTTGGTAATTACAGTGGATAGCAGGGAGTAGCATGGGAAAGAAACAGAAGCTGTTTGCCTTATCAGAAGTCGGTGTGCCATTAGAATTATGAGTGAATCATTCATCTTAGTGAATTATTTAAACACACTGATTCATTCAGTAACAAAACAAATGGCAATCCTTTTTTAAGTGAGAAACTTTTACTCTACCAATTCTTTCAAAAACACAGATTCATTCAGGAACTGATTTGTCTTTATGAGTAATAATAAAAAGACAAAGTTGGATGGAAAAAAAGTTGGCTCTATAATCAGTATGGCTTGTGTTGATATTGCTTATATTGCTAAGTTTTATAGCCTAATAAAAGCTCTAATGGTGCATAAATGGTGCACTCTATGGTGCATTTCCATCAAACACAGCAACACGGCAAGATTTACAACATCTAAATATTACCATAACCGAATAACGTTTCGTACCCAACTAAAAGATCACACATCTGCTTTATCACTTTTTGTTCTAAAAAAAAAACCACTCCATTTTTTATCTCAACTGTTGCATTAGAAGTCCAGAACTTACCTGAGATCAGAGGATCTTTTGATTGTGACCGCAGACTCTGTATTTTCATTCGTCCTATTATTCGCTGTGTCCTCCTGGTTGGTTCCTAGCTGCAGGCTTCTATCCTCATTATCCTCACTGTCCTCCTGAGCCTGCTTTTTCTCTTTTTCCATTTCCTTCCAGCCCCGTGTCAGCTCTGAAACCATGTTGGAGCACTTCCTGCGGCGTGTGGGCGACCCTTTCTTGCTCAGCATCTTGTCCAGTTCATCCGTGGCCGGGTCCTTACAGATGCGTTTGGTCAAAAAGTCAATGCCCGCACTTTTCTCCTGAACTTCCCTCGTCACAGTTTTCACCACTTGTGCGGTTTTGATGCGTGACTCCTCGGCGGCCTCCACATCATCCTGGTTTTTATTTCTAGGGTCTTGATTGGAAAAAGACTTTTGAGATGGTTTGATCTTTGGAACTACTATTTTTGCATCGTTGGGGTCTTCTGGGTAACTCGGGGCCCATCCGCTGGGTTCGCTGGACTGCTTCTCTTCATTTTCGCTCACCCACTGCTGCCAGCTCCGTGTTAAGCTGCACACCATGCTTATGGCACGCAGCTTTTTAATGTTCTTGTTCGTTGAGGGTTTCTTTTCTGACATTGTTTACCTCCAAGGGGTTGCTTCACTCATTCAAGTTCTTTGTCCCTGGTGGCTTTTATATAGCACCTCGTTGTGATTCCCAACCTGTAGTAAATTCTAGACTCTGAGCTCTCCCTTAGGCACTAGCGGTTTTGAAATGGGTCAACCAACCTACTTTCCAACCTGGCGGTGGAAAGTATGCCAGGCATCTCCGCTGATCATCTTTCCTTGACACTTACCGACCTCTGGGATTGGTGGGGAATCACGTTTCATCATAGACGTTGCCCATCGCTGGGGGTAAACAGGGCAAAGATGTCAGTGAGTGTTAAGCTTTTTCCTAGGCTGTGCAAATGTGCAGGCAGCTGCTCTGTGCGTCTTATCTGGATACTTGCATTCAGTTGACTTTGTCATTAGCATTACCTGATGCTTATCAAGATCAATTAGCAGTGTCAATTAGCAAAAGCAACAATGTCCATGTTGTCAATGCTAAGTGGTAAACTACCAGTGTGAACTGTGTGGATCATATGCATAGGTTCCCCCAACAGTCAATTATACTGTGAATAATTATAGTGGGAATGAATAGATTCTTGACAACAATTCCAACTAAATGTCCAAGTTGAAGGTAGAAGTTCTGTATTAAAGCTTATTTTTAAATTTAAACATGGAGACTACAATGTTACTTAGACCATCACACCACATGGTTTATTTCAACCTCATGAAAAATAATGTAGTTAAAAGATAGCCTAATATATAGATATAACATATATAATTTTATTATAACACATATATATAAAGTAATAAATACATTTTAATATATAATTTAATACATACAGTAAATAGTAATAGTTTTATTTTTCAGAGTTGTAAATAAAACAAAGATTATTCATTTTACAAGAAAATTATATGTATTTTTTCTACTTGAAATAGAATTTAATTAAATGTGGTACTTGCTATTTCTTCGTAATTATTTGTGCAATTTTTTACTTTATTTTAATATTTACTAGCAATGTTTTGAGTGAAAATTATTTCAAAGTAAATCATACACCAATATTTTTATTTATTTATTTTATTTTATTTATTATTATTTTTTTGCATGTGTGTGTGTGTATTCAAATAACAAATGTAAATGTAAAGGGCTAAACGGGAGTTGTTCAATAAACATAAGATATGCAATTTTAGGATAACATATCTCCCTATAGTTCAAGCAAGATAACAAGATAAATAATAATAAAGAAGAAATTAATAACCTTTTTGATTGAGGGAAGAGCAAATGTCAAGGAGTCACTCGATCCAAGACAGAAGCAGAGATGTCTTTGGTAAGGAAAAAAGTCACCTGAAGGAGACACTGAAGCAGTTTCTGCTTGCGTACACAGCGGATAGTCTTGCATTGCACCTGGCAGCATGCTACGACAGAAAGGATTTGACAAAATTAAAATGCAACTGAACTAGAAACGCTTCTATTTCTTTATACCACAGAAAAGCAGTTAAGTGCAGAAAACTGTGCTTGAGCATATTTAAATGTTGTGTATTTGACTAAAAGGTGTTTAAGTATGTCAACTAAGTTTATCGGTTTGTTTTCTGATAGCATTGAGAGGCATTATTAATAGTATCTGCATGAAGCAAGGAAAGGCAGCTGCTGGCTGTCAGTCACATGATGTAGAGCTGTGTCAGTGTGCATGCATAGTGGATGGTCACTGTGACTGCAAGAGAACTCTAGACAAATGGAGCATATTCCAGACTGCTCTTGATTCTAGATCAGAGAGAGAGAGAGAGAGAGAGAGAGAGAGAGAGAGAGCACAGTGCAACAGAACAAATTCAACAGTCATATCCATTTCTTGTCCACTAACAAGAAAGCACATTTGACCTACAGTCAAAAAGGGCTAAAATTAAAAATCAATTTGGTCAAAACATTAGCATAGGTTACAAAATGTAGAAGAAATTTGACCTTTTAACCTTGGTTAAATCTCAGCTGTAATTAAAGATCACCTAAACGGATAAAATAAAAAAAAACTGCAGAATTAAAATAATGTTGGCGTTTGTAAAGTGTGTGTGCACTGAGTCGCCAGCAGAGGTCCTCATAACAACAGTGTTCCAATTTGAATGGCTGAGAAGAGCTGTCATGTAGGCTACTAAATAATTTTTAAACTGAATTAAACTTTTATTTTAATACTTTAATGTGCACATATACTATATATAATTACGGTATTATATACACATTGCAGGTCAAAAGTTTGGAATAATTATGATTTGTTTAATGTTTTTGAAAGCAGTCTTTTAAACTCACCAAAGCTGCTTTTATTTGATCAAAAATACAGTAAGAACAATTATATTGTGAAATAATTACATTTTAAAATAACTGTTTTCTAACTGAATGTATTGTAAAATGTAATTTATTCCTGTGATGGCAAAGCTTAATTTTCAGCAACCATTACTCTAGTCTTCAATGTTACATGATCCTTCAGAAATCATTCTAATGCGCTGATTCAGATATATGTATATAATTATTATTATTATTATGTTTACCATTAAATCAATGTTTAGCTATTGTAGTGCATGCTGCTAGTAATGCCAAAGTCATAGGTCTGATTCTCAGGGAATCTCTGATCAAATGTATGCAATGTATCTAAAAGCTTCTACCAAAGCATAAATGCAACAAGTAATCTGTGATAAATTGGTCTGTGAAAAGTGTTTTAGGAGATATTTAAAGACCAAAAATGTAGACTATCATTAGAGCATAAGCACAATCATGTGCAGATGTTGAGATAAAGGCAGATCATCCAGAACGAATGATATATGGGGTCCTTCTGCAATGCAGGTCAAATGTCAAGGCCCCAAATTCCCTTTGTGTTTCGAACTGAGACCACTTTAAATGACCTCATCTCACCCCACACTTTCCCAAAACTTCTGTAAAAAGAAAACTGATGGCCAAGAGCACTTACACAGTTTTGATTGTCCACACGACTTCATCTAAATTAAAAATGCTAATTGAGACACAGCTCACTCTCAGTGCACAATTCCTTCCTTCCATAATACCTCATTTAACTCATCTAGTACACAAATATTTGTCCTACACCAGCCCTCAGATGGTTTCCATTCCGACCAAGCTTTCAACTGATTTATTACGTCCATCATTGGTATGGATGGGTACCTCATCCAAAAAGCCAGGTGTGAATTGACTTCCCAAATGTCTGGTACGGCTGTCTGCACTAGACTTATGCTCCAGTGGTTCCTTCATCCATCTGGACTGAAAATCTCTCCTGGTCAAGGCGGGCAATAGGGTCCAGAGTCAGAGTAAGAGCACCTGTACCTGCTGGTGCGTGTCGCACTTCCCTGTTTCTCCGCCTTTCTGTTTGCCTTTCAATTCCTCCGAGTCTAAAACCGTTCCTGAGCTTGTTTTGTTTGGCCATCATAGCTAATTGAGCAGGCACAGACTTCACCGCACTATCCCAAGCCCTGGGGTTTCTGATTTGCGTATCATTCTGAGCAGGGAAATAGATTTCTGTTGTAGTAATCTGTCTCTGATTAAGAGGTAAATACATTGCTCTGTTTTTACACTGAGGTTGCAGGCAAAGCTTTTGGTTTTCAAAATATTTGCAGTAGGTGGAACACTTTGCCATCAAAAGAACAATTTTTTTGTCCTGAAAAGTAACAATTTTGAAGAATTATACTCTAGGGTTTTACTCATAGTTATTACAGAATATTTGTACTGTGAGAATCATATTGTACTATGTTGTTTTTGGAGTAGCCGTCCAACTTTAGCTGCCAACCATGAATAAAAAATACCTGCAAGACCGCACAGTAGAGGAAAAACAGTGCCCAATTCTCTGACAGACATAGAAATTATAAGAGAGAAAAAGCAGATGAGTAAAAAAGAAAAAATAATCACAACATTCGCTTTTCATGGATAACAATTTAAGTGTTGCCTCGAACATTTTGGGCGCTCCAAAGTCAACAGTGTCAGCTCGTGGTCTTCAAATCTGTCTCTAATCCAATAAAGCTCTACTGCAATGAACGTTATTGATTGTGTTTAGCTGTCTTGAGCGGCCTCATAAATAAATGTAATGGACGGTAAATTAGCTCGTACGTGATCAGGAGTAGGCAGAAAACCCGCCAAAAGGCCAAAGAAGAAATCTCACCCCCACCTTCGTCCCATCTCGAGCGCATTTAGTCTCAGGAAGAGTGAGTGGACTCTTGCAATCAGATGAGCTCATTATGGACCAAGAGGTACTGTGTGGTTTGGAATTTATTAGACACATTTGTAATGTATCCATTTTTAGGGGCAAGCACGTGAAAAGTGAAGAGTTACATATGTGGCGGATCGCGAAAACATCACGTTTCGTTGTTTTTTTTTTTACTCCTGTGTGCGACTGACAGAGCGTGAAGTGTCTGGCGCGAGGGTTGGCAAGATGAGTGGAGCTGTTTGTCCTGGCTGATTCATTAAAAAGGATTGAAATGAATAAATATATTATAATAAAAAAATCATATATATATATATTATTATTATTATTAGTGCTGTCAAAATTAGCGCATTAACGCAGGTGATAATTTTTTTTTAGTTTAACAGCGGTAAAAATATTTCGCGCAGTTAATGTAGGGGCGGGGCTAGGGATAGCCTCGCCACTCACAACTGCTGCTTCTGTCTCTTTTTTTCTTGACAAGAATTGTGTTTATTTAGACGCTGAACCTCTTTACGACCACATGAATCCGGAGACAGTTCAGACGTGCACTCCACTTTGCCTTAGTGCCAGGTGTTAGTCAAACGAGCGCGGAAACGGTAGAGATGACGAGGGAGCATCAGTAGAACATCAGTGAATTGCAGTCAGATGAGATGTTTCAGGCCATAATTCAGTAAAAACGAATTTTCCTGTCCTGTCAATCGTTATACTGTGCTCTTAGCGTGTGCTCTTCAATTGCACGCACAAATGCGCCAGCCTGTATCATTTCATATCAAAGCACGAAAGAAACTACGAGCATAGGCTACAATGTTGCAGTTATGTCGTCAGTTAAGTCAAAACTGAAAAAAAAGTGAAAACTGAAATGGTTTTCAAAACTGTCTTGGAGCAGCCCAGCACTGTCTCCCTCATCTAACACACTTGATTCAGCTCGTCAGCTCATTGAGACTTTAAGACTTGAAGTGTGTCAGAAAAGGTAACAAGTTGTGAGAAAATATGGTGCATGTCAGATCCACGTCATGTTCAGCAGTGGCAGCTCTTAAAGTGGTCATATGATGCTGCTAAAAATAACATTATTTTGTGTATTTGGTGTAATGAAATGTTTATGCGGTTTAAAGTTCAAAAAACATTATTTTCCACATACTGTACATTATTGTTTC